GACAATGAAAACTAGAAGAACTAGCTGTGAATGAAATCCTATCATACACTTGAGGATTTAAATATAATATGGAAACTGCTGGTACTTATTATATTTAAAACAGTTTAGTTAATAAATTTATCTTTAAAAATTCTCTGTTAAAAATGTGAAACCATGTAGTAAAATAATGATAAAAATGATGGGGAGGGAAGAATGAAGAATGAAGAATTTTCCATTCATAGAAACAGTGGCTGTGTTTAAATAGCATCAAAAATCTCTTAAGAACTGCATTTGATTGAACTCAACAACATAGCAAGCAGGACAAGTTTTAGAAGAATATTATAACTGCTGCCATTATAGCTCTAAGCATAAACTCTCTGAAATATAACTGCAGCTAGTGAATATGAATTTTACATAATCTCTCAGAGAGTAAGCTAAATAACTTCAATAACATAAGATTCCATTTAAAAGGCATCTTTAAGATTACTCCTTAATAATATTAATTCAATTATTAATTCAATGTAGCAATATTAATCAGTCTTTATCAGCCTAAAAACATAGGCATTAATACTTCTGTTTGAAACTATTTCAATATATCAATTTATTTTAAAACTCACATGGCATAATATTTTATTAATTAAAAATTTTAGGTTCATAGAAGTCTTTCCAAGTAAATTTTCTCAATGAGTGTGCATACTTACATATCTTTATTAAATCATACAAGATCTTTAGTTATTTAACATATGTGTAAATAAAAAGGAATATCGTATTTTTATTTTATGTTAAGATGATCATTTATGATAATAAATCATGATTATGAACCAGTTTCTTCTTGAGAACTGTGAGTTTGTAGGTATCATTAGCTATGAAAAGCACTACATTCTTCTATATTCCTTAACTGGATCTTATATGTCCATAGCCTATTTACTACAATACAAAAACCAATAGGATTTTTGAACTGTATGACCATATTTACATCATTTCTGTTTTGGAAAAATGACCTCGATACTTTATGCATAGTCTAAAAGAAACACCCCAATAACTATGTTGTAAACAGAAAAAAATATATTTGGTGAAAAGAGGTAGAACTTATGAGATGGCTAGAAATTAGTACTGATTATAATTTTAAAAATTATGTCTGGTTACAGGGAAGCCAAAGAATTAGAAGTACTAGTTGATTCCATTTCCTTTAAAAATAAAATAAGGATGAGACATAATGATAAAAATGAATTATTTTGGGTATATGTTAGTCTAACAACAGAACTCAATACTACAAATTACATAAAATATAAGTCAGTTATCTGCTACAGTTCTATTTTACTCCTTTGGCAGAAGCCCTGTGGTATGCAACATAAGCGTGGTAGTTCTCTTTCTATACACTAGAGGGAGGTGTGACATAATTACTCTGGAAGGGTGCGGGCAGATTCATGTCTAGGAGGATGTGTCCTATCACTGGTCTCAGAAACCTTGTCTCTCACCTTATTTGCACGAGAGAGACGGGATTATAATCAAGGCTAATCAATAAACCACACTACCCTTTCCTTGGAATTTTTTTCGTTCTCTTGTTCTTGCTTTCTCATAAACCTCATGTAAACATATTTTATGACTTTCCTTGAATTAGTATGCAATGCAAAAAAGCCATAGGTTTGTTGTATTAAAAAAGTAATGATTAATAAGTGAGTGTATAATCACTACTCTTTACTTAAGTTAGCTGCAACTTTTAAAGCTTCAAAGCCTCACCTTTCAAGGTATATAAGTTGGGACAGAGGCACCAACATCAAAGAGATGTTAAGATCAGGTTTCACAGGGCAGCATGGTTAAACACCCACTGAGCACAACACAATCCAGATTTCTACAAAGCTTTAGCTCCCTTGGTTAGCAAAGGTAGAGGCATGGCAAACTACTTATTAGAGAAAATACAAAGCCATTTTAGGATTTGGAGGTCTGGCTGTTAAAAGCTCCTCCTTAAAAATTTCAACGGTTAAAAATAGTCTCTTAAGAGAATGGTGAATTTTGGATCCAGATCTGACTGCAAATTCAGACTGTAGGTTTATATCATTGAATTCACTGGGAAATAAATAACTTTTAAAAAAAGCCTGAATGTTCAAGCAATTACCCCAACAATAATCATCAGAACTTTCTTGTAAGTCTGGTTTTGATTTTCTTTGAATCTTGAATGATTCATGTTGCAGACTTGTACTTTAGTCATTCACAATTTATAAATGGCAACTTAACTTTAGTATTTATGAATTGTGATCAATACTATAGCAATCAAAACACTCACCTTTTCTATTTCAATACTTCAATTTCTTTCTTCTTCTTAACTCTTTCCAAGAACTGCTGGGTCACTAGCAAACCAGTCCTCACTAGTGCATGTTTGCGATAATAGTCTGGGAAGAAAGAATCTCTGAGATTAGGTATTGAAGTTGGAGAAGTAAATGAATCAGGAGCCTCTTTCCCTCTCTCTTTCTTTCTCTTTCCAGCCCCTCCCCCTAAACCTTCTGTGTGTGCCTGTGCATGTATGATCCTGGTGATGGTGGTGTTATTTACAAAACAGGAGCCTTAACAGATCTCCCATTGATCTGTCTTCATGTTTATGACTCAGCTTCTATGCATAAGAGTTTTGGCAAATGTGGTTATTAACACTGAAATTTGGTCTTAAGGAGATAAAAGTCAAATTGCCTTATGGAACTTTAACAGCAAGCCTGAGGCTAATAAAACATCCAACCTACTGCCTGTTGGTGGGCGCGTGTCAGCTTTACCTTGAATCTGGGCTGAGAGGGGGTGACTGAAAAGGATAGAGCCCTGAATATTATTTAGCCAGATTTGGGTTTTAACAAGCAACAAAGCTTGAATTGACAGCGAGCCTTTCTCCTTAAAGGGGAGACAGTTTTTTTTTTTTTTTTCTCAAGGGAGAGGCGACCTCCCTTTCACTGGGCTTCTACTAGTCTTCTGAAACACTTTCATAATCGAGGGACTTCCCTTGCATGGGTGCCTGGGGACAGCTGATTTTTCTCAGAGGATGAAGTTACATATTGATTGCTGTTGCTCCAGGTGTGTTTGCACCAGCGCTGGCAGAAGCGGGCGCGCGAGCGCCCTCACATTCACACACACTCACTGAAATACACATCATACCCACCCCACCCCCCCGGAAACACACACACACACACACACACACCCTCTGCACCTCATTCAGACGGGTCCACACGCAGCCAGAGATCCACGCCTCCCTTGCTATGGGTGTGTCCGTGGTGCCAGTGTGTGTGTGTGTGTGTGTGTGTGTGTGTGTGTGTGTGTGTGCAGAAACCCACCAGGAAGACCGCAGCTACCTTATTTTGCAAGCAAGCTGCGATCCGGGTTCCTGCATACATCCCGCTGCCTAACTTTTTTTTATTTTTCCCCTGTGCCTTCTCTCCTTTCCAGAGGAAGGCGGTGAAGGACCTTCCCCATAGTCCCACACTCGGAGACCCGGCGGCGAGGCTGGGGCAGCGCCGCGACTGCGGAGCGCAGGGCTGGGCTAGCCCCGCCGGTCTCCCTTCTAACTGATCTAATCAATGACTCCAAGGCGCTGGGGTTCCTGGCTCCGCCCCCGCCAGTCGCCTCTCTGCCTCCCATTGGGCGCGGGCCGAGGAGGCGGGGCTTTGCCCCTCGCGCGGATTGGCTGGCAGGGAATCAGTATCAATGTTTAAGCGGCGGCGTGAGGTGAATAGTCAGTCAGCAAGAGGCGCTGGGGAGAGAGCTGGGACTGCGAGCCGGTGGCTGCGGCTGCGGCGGAGGGCGGCTGGGGAGACGTTACTCCAACTGTTGAATTCCCGTCTCTCTTCTCCTTCGATGCGTGGCTTGCGGAGATGGCTTTATTTGCTTTGAAATCCGCACGTCTTTTGCAGGCTGCGAGCTGATCCTGACAGACACCAGATTGAAAGAGACCACCCGTGACAGAGAAGGAGGAAAAAAAAAAAACCCTCCACAACGGACTGCACAATTAACTCTGCACACCGGGGCTGGACTTGGTGAATAGAGAACATTGGGAGGAAAATCCTGAACTGTGATGCGGGGCTAAGCTGTGAACACTCACTGGAATCCTGATTTCCCCAAAAAGACTCTGAAAGATTTGGTGGTTCCTCACGCCTAAGCAAAAGGAAAGGCTTTTTTTTCTTTCTAAATAAACAAATAAATACACCTAGCAAAACAGACGCCTTGTTTTTGCGAGCCTTGGACTCCGGCAGAGAGAGGTAGAGTAAAAGTGCCGCTGGATTCAGCTTCACCCTCCCTCCTCCCTCCCTCCCTCCCTCCCTCCCTTGCTCTCGCTTTTTCCTCTTTCTCCAAAACATGAATCTGGCTTTCCTTCCCGTGGAGTGAGTCAGAGAAAGCCTCAGGAGGAAGCCGCAACTAATGTCTGTGCAGGGAAGACCAGGAGGCGAGAGTGAATACGATTCGTTCCGCTGCCTCTGACTCACCCGGCAGATCGGAGCACCTGCATTTCTGGATGTGTCATCCCCGTGTGTCCAGGCGCCTCGAGGACCTGAAATGATGCGTGGACAGACCCGTGTCTAACATCCCCTCGGAGGGAGCTCCGCGGGGTGGGCGCCCCTGGCTGGACCGGCGCGGCCGCAGCCCCTCGCCCTCTGCCCTCCCCGGGCCGCCCAGAGACTGAGAGCCAGACTGCAGACTGCATCGCGCCAACCCTTGATGTGTTTCTTCCATCCAGCTCGTTCTTACTATTAAAAATATTTTTTTTGGAAGGGGGAAAAAAAAAAAGACCCGCACTTTATTCGCTTCAAATGTTCACCACTTTTATTCCTCGCCAAGCCTTTCCTTTCTAGATGACGAGGACCGGGAGGCAGGGCCATTGGAAGGAGATGCTGAATAGGAAGAAAAGAGAGGCACTTGACGGTCCAGCCTTGTGAATGCAGAGACTGTTTCCCTTCTAGCGAGAGACAGGGAGAGTGTGTGTGCGAGGGCTGGGAGGTGGCTCCCCCTTCCTTTCCATTCCGCCCCCTCCCCCTCCCTCCCCCCCTGAAGCTGCACATCCAACCATGAGTTGCCTGTTGATTTCCTTTCGCCCGAGAAGCCACGCAAACTGGAATTAAACTGCAGCGAGAGAAGTCCCTGCTCGCCGGGAGAGAATGGGATGGTAGCGGCGGCTCCCGGCTTCTCGCAGAGAAATCAGAGTGTGTGTCGTCCGAACGGAGGCGGAGATACCTCGATACACCCCTCCCTCCCCCCACCCTCCGGGTAGACTTAACACCGCAAACGCGGATCAGGCTGTGGCTTTCCGGACTTTGGGGGAGAGCCTTTTCGGAGGAAGAGAGGGAGGAGCTTGGCGGAGGGAGGAAACTACAAATCGGGACACTAGTTCTTTGCACTGCATTTCCTCCCCTCCCTTTGGCTGCTCGGAAAGGAGAGAGAGAGAGAGAAAAAAAAATACGCTTGGCTGGGAGATGCAGTCCGCCGCCGCCGCCTCAGCCAGCAATGCAAGATTAGATCTCTAAATGCAGTAAAAACACGGCCGGAAAACAGACCCGCCGGAGAAGCCAGCAGACATTTCACAGCGCCCCGGGAAAGCTTCAGAATATATCTGACTCGCTCTTCACTGCTCCCCAGCCCCATTCATTTCATCACCGGAGGCGACCAGAAACAAGTAAGGATTTCACTTTCCCATCTGCCTGGAGACACACCTCCCCGCTCCCTCCCCCACCAATTGGAAGAGTATTCCGGAGGCTCCCGGCGGGAGTGGATTTGCAGCGTCCCAGCGGGAGCCAGGAAAACCTACGCATTCTAGGCTCTTCATCTCCCCCCCCACCCCAGACTCGATTTACACTGTATCCCCGGCACCGTCGCTAAGTTTGAGTCGCCGCAAGTTCGGGCGGCAGAGACAAAGCCGCGGGGCTTGCCCCAGCCGCGGGGAGCCGCCGCCTGGCTCCGCGCTCCTGCAGCATCGCCGCGCCTCTGCTTCTCGCCCAGTGCGGATGCTGTAGATCAACAGGTTCGGGAACTTGAGCGGAATCAGGAGGGCCCGCCGGGTCCCGCAGCCCGGGAGCGGGGGGAAGGAAGGACCCACAGACTTGTGGCTGGCTCGGCGCGCATGCTGCGCGGGGGCTCCAGGCTGACGCGCACCCTTTCGCTCTCCCCTCCGGTCCGGCTGTCACTGCCTCCACCCCACCGGTCTGGGATGTACCTTTCCATCTGTTGCTGTTTTCTGCTCTGGGCCCCTGCCCTGACACTCAAAAACCTGAACTACTCCGTGCCGGAGGAGCAGGGAGCCGGCACGGTGATCGGCAACATCGGCAAAGATGCGCGGCTGCAGCCGGGGATTCCGCCCGCGGAGCGCGGCGGCGGCGGCGGGCGCAGCAAGTCGGGCAGCTACCGGGTGCTGGAGAACTCGGCGCCGCACCTGCTGGACGTGGACGCGGACAGCGGGCTCCTCTACACCAAGCAGCGCATCGACCGCGAGTCCCTGTGCCGCCACAACGCCAAGTGCCAGCTGTCCCTCGAGGTGTTCGCCAACGACAAGGAGATCTGCATGATCAAGGTGGAGATCCAGGACATCAACGACAATGCGCCCTCCTTCCCTTCCGACCAGATCGAGATGGACATCTCGGAGAACGCGGCCCCCGGCACCCGCTTCCCCCTCACCAGCGCGCACGACCCCGACGCGGGCGAGAACGGGCTCCGCACCTATCTGCTCACCCGCGACGACCACGGCCTCTTCGCGCTGGACGTCAAGTCCCGTGGCGACGGCACCAAGTTCCCAGAGCTGGTCATCCAGAAGGCGCTGGACCGCGAGCAGCAGAACCACCACACGCTCGTGCTGACCGCCCTGGATGGCGGGGAGCCGCCGCGCTCCGCCACCGTGCAGATCAACGTGAAGGTGATCGACTCCAACGACAACAGCCCCGTCTTCGAGGCGCCCTCCTACCTGGTGGAACTGCCCGAGAACTCCCCGATGGGCACCGTGGTCATCGATCTGAATGCCACGGACGCCGACGAAGGCCCCAATGGCGAAGTGCTCTACTCCTTCAGCAGCTACGTGCCCGACCGCGTGCGGGAGCTCTTCTCCATCGACCCCAAGACCGGCCTGATCCGTGTCAAAGGCAACCTGGACTATGAGGAGAACGGCCTGCTGGAGATCGACGTGCAGGCTCGGGACCTGGGTCCCAACCCCATCCCGGCCCACTGCAAGGTCACTGTCAAGCTCATCGACCGCAACGACAACGCGCCGTCCATCGGTTTTGTCTCCGTGCGCCAGGGGGCGCTGAGTGAGGCCGCCCCGCCAGGCACCGTCATCGCCCTGGTGCGGGTCACTGACCGCGACTCGGGCAAGAACGGGCAGCTGCAGTGCCGGGTCCTGGGCGGAGGTGGGGCGGCCGGCGGCCTGGGCGGGTCGGGAGGATCCGTGCCCTTCAAGCTGGAGGAGAACTACGATAACTTCTATACGGTCGTGACTGACCGCCTGCTGGACCGGGAGACACAGGACGAGTACAACGTGACCATCGTGGCGCGGGACGGGGGCTCCCCTCCCCTCAATTCCACCAAGTCCTTCGCCGTCAAGATTCTGGATGAGAATGACAACCCACCTCGTTTCACCAAGGGACTCTACGTGCTGCAGGTGCATGAGAACAACATCCCAGGAGAGTACCTGGGCTCCGTGCTCGCCCAGGACCCCGACCTGGGCCAAAACGGCACGGTGTCCTACTCCATCCTGCCCTCGCACATCGGCGACGTGTCCATCTACACCTATGTGTCCGTGAACCCCACCAACGGGGCCATCTACGCCCTGCGCTCCTTTAACTACGAGCAGACCAAGGCTTTTGAGTTCAAGGTGCTGGCTAAGGACTCCGGGGCGCCCGCGCACCTGGAGAGCAATGCCACCGTGAGGGTGACAGTGCTGGACGTGAACGACAACGCGCCGGTGATCGTGCTGCCCACGTTGCAGAACGACACCGCCGAGCTGCAGGTGCCGCGCAACGCCGGCCTGGGCTACCTGGTGAGCACCGTGCGCGCCCTGGACAGCGACTTCGGCGAGAGCGGGCGCCTCACCTACGAGATCGTGGACGGTAACGATGACCACCTGTTTGAAATAGATCCGTCCAGCGGCGAGATCCGCACGCTGCACCCCTTCTGGGAGGACGTGACTCCCGTCGTGGAGCTCGTCGTGAAGGTGACTGACCACGGCAAGCCCACCCTGTCCGCGGTGGCCAAGCTCATCATCCGCTCGGTGAGCGGCTCCTTGCCCGAGGGGGTGCCCCGCGTGAACGGGGAGCAGCATCACTGGGACATGTCGCTGCCGCTCATCGTGACCCTGAGCACTATCTCCATCATCCTCCTCGCGGCCATGATCACCATCGCTGTCAAGTGCAAGCGAGAGAACAAGGAGATCCGCACTTACAACTGCCGCATCGCGGAGTACAGCCACCCGCAGCTGGGCGGGGGCAAGGGCAAGAAGAAGAAGATCAACAAAAACGATATCATGCTGGTGCAGAGCGAGGTGGAGGAGAGGAACGCCATGAACGTCATGAACGTGGTGAGCAGCCCCTCCCTGGCCACCTCCCCCATGTACTTCGACTACCAGACCCGCCTGCCCCTCAGCTCGCCCCGGTCGGAGGTGATGTATCTCAAACCGGCCTCCAACAACCTGACTGTTCCTCAGGGGCACGCGGGCTGCCACACCAGCTTCACCGGACAAGGGACTAATGCGAGCGAGACCCCAGCCACTCGGATGTCCATAATTCAGGTAGGAGACTTTTAGCATCACTGGGACTTCACTTTATTGCTGGTTTGGGAGCTGTCCTGAAACCTTTCTTACAGGACGAGCCACTGGCAGCAGCAGTGAGAGGGTTTGTTTTTTTGTGTTGTTTTTTTTTTTTTAATGAAAATGGTTTACACTTTTGCCACTGCCTGTGTACAACATTATCTATACATATTCTCTCCCATGTAAATAGTCTAAAATCTACAAGATGTAAATGTCTTACTTTTGTTGCATTTTTAGAGTTTATTTTTGTAGTTTTAAAAATGTTAGCAAGGTTAAGTTTATTCACAGTTTATTTTACTTTATTTTTGTTTGGTGCTCTACATTTTTTCCTGTAAGAAAGGATTTCCAGAGTAGAAAAAAAATGTTTTGCCTAATTCACTTTAAAAGTGCATTTGAGTCCATTAAAATACATAATGCCAAGTCAGAGAAATGTGTACCCAGATGTTAAGGAGTTAACTACCTAAAGTGAAATATAGAAACCTGCCAGAATTCCAGAGCCTGAATCAATTAGAGGCAGTTTTCACTGCCACCCCCAAAGTCAGCTTGATATTTAAAAAGTATTTTCAAGGACGTGAATTTTATCTACTCTTTAACTAAAACTGCAGCATAATGCATTAAGTTGCTTAAGCTTTGGAAATGTGACATATACTCTTAGGATCTTTCAAAAGTTTGTATAAATGTAGACTCTGGATAATGATGAGTAACTATCTATGAAAAGTTTCAGTTTATTCTGTCCTGTGGTTTTCCTGATCTGTGTTTTGCTGTCATTGATGAATGTAGAAAGTTCACAAGAAGGTCATGGACTGCTTTGGGGCTCTTGAAAACAGGAAGCAAAGTTGCACTAAAGGCACTTGCCATAAAGAATTCCAGGATGCATTTAGTTTGCATACTGTGTGTTTTCTGTATATCTAAGTGATATTTATTATGTATTAGATAGTATTGTTTGAAGGTTTTGATATATGAAAAAAATGACCCAGCATGGACATAGATTTTAACAGCAGCAGGTGACTGTATTGTGTCTAGTCATTGCCTAGTTACTTTTATCCACTATTGAGTTGTGTCACAGGAAAACTTAATTCTCCTCTATTATGCATGTGAGTTACTACAAATTACTCTGGATGAGCAGTACTGGAAATTCAAAACTGAGTTTAACTATGAGTGACACTTTGGAGGAAGATTAGTTTGGGGCAAATGAAAATAATTTGTTCATTATTTTATGCTTTCAAAAGCAAACACCTTTAAATGACACTTAAGTAATGTTTTTATTATTCAAATAGGGTTTTAAAATTTCATAACCTTATATTTTCTGAGACAAATGTAACAAATGCTAAAACTTAGCAAAACTTATTTTCTTATAATAGTATAATGCCCTTGTAAAAGAGACTCTTGTACTTGATGCCACTGAATATACCAAAGTATTAATTGTACTAACATTAAATTTCACTTTTTAGTGTTTACTGATACCAGTAATCATGGCTTTTTGAGGTTTAATAAAACTGAACAAAAAATTTCTCCCTTAAAAAAAATCATGGTTTCCATGAAAGTCTTTCTGTGACTGTAGAAAACTGGTATTTATGATAATCTTTTTAAAGAGAGATGTTAAATATATATATTTATAAATCTTTTACAGTCATTTCACCAATACACATGTTATACATTCTTCTTATATTTTTACCATTGACATTACAATGGTATCACAGAGGCTTAATGCTGGATCTTCTACTTTAAGCTCTATCAGTTGAATTCTTATTTAGGCTCCATGTAAAAATGAAGTTGGTCTATTAGTGAGGAACAATCTTGGATGGAAGTATCCAGGAGGTTTTGGGGGCTGGGATGGCCACATTGTATTTATATCATAGTGTTCTTGAAGCTGGTTATTGCTTGATGGGTGGATGGATGGTGGTGGTGGTGACGATGATGATGATGATTCTTCTCATTAGCAGTAAAACTCGAGGAAAAGCAAATCACACACACACAGGAAGAGGAGAGAGATATTTTAAACAGAAAACAGAAGGACAAACTTCCTTGCCATTCCTTTTTTTCTTGAATCTTAATCCACACCATAAAGACCCAGAAAAAATGTTTTAAATTCTTGAATTCCCCTTCCTTCCCTGCGCCCCCCCCCCCCACCCCCGTGTCTCAATTTCCCATATTGCTCTTCCCCTGGAAATCTGGAAATATCCTCAATATAAATTGTTGAAACAGGCTTTTTTTTTCTGTTGAATTTTTGCAATCCTATAAGGGATGCTCTGTAAATTCCTACTAAGTTAATTTCCTTTTAAAAGTATTAGGTTTTTCTCAACATCTACTTTGGAAAACAGAGTAAATTGACTTTAGATACCTTTTTTCTTCATTTTTTAAACTGGCATGCTACAAATACTCTGGGCTGAAGTGATATGTTTAAATTAAAGTGTTCAGGTATCCCATAATCTTCTTTCAAGTGCATTTATTAGTGGGTGTATTTAACTCAGCCTGCTGAGGAAGCACACTATTAATCTCATGTGTATTTCTAAGGATGAATTTTAATCCATCAGAGGACACTTGGACTAGCAGCTACTAGACCTGGTTTACCTTATTTTCCAGCGTGTAGAAGGTGTATGGTGTATTTGTATTGATGGAATGAAAAGAATTTCATAATTGTCTGAGATGCATTGATAGAGAGTGGTGACATAAAACTTAGAAACTTCAGGATTTATAAGACTCATGTTACAGCTCAAATTAAGATTTATTTTAGTATCAAAAGATTTTATGTGAGTCGTAGGGCTTAAAATTTTAAGGTTGAGATTTGTAGGTTCTTGGGCATAAGGGTATTTTTATTGAATATGGATGTAGTACAATTATGTAAGCTAATGAAGAAAGAGGACTTTGCGAGAAGAGATTTTATTTCAGGTTTTTAAGAGATTTTATTTCAAGTATCTCAGCTGAAGTGAAGTCATCTCTGAAGTGTTTAACCAATAGACTAGTGATTAAAATATCCTCAGTAGCGTGACTCATAATAAAAGATTGTTATAATGAAATGTTTTATTCATTTTAAAGCTATAAAATTTATTTTGAAAAATAGGAACATAGATTGGTGGTAGGTAAGGCAAATAGATTGTTATACAAATTTATAAAAGCACTTTTCACAGAAACAATTTCCATATGAATTATTTTATATATTAACATGAGAATCTAAAATCAAGTAGAGATCATTACTAATTGTCACAAGTAACTGCTTATTGTGGCTTATAAAATTATTTAAGTCTCAGAGAAACTTCTCAACAGGTGTTTTCAAAGAAGACTTCGCTGAGAAGAGGGAGAAGACTGGGGAGTTCTTACTAGTGGGTATATTTCCAGTATTTGTTTGAACATCTGTGTTTTCATATTTTTTGGTAGCACTACTATAAGTCATCTTAGTATGCTTTCAGAGAAGAAAATGTATAGAGCCAGCAGAATAATACCTACTAAAATAAAATTTTGAAAGGAATATATTCTTACACAATTTTTTACAGTTCAGTTTTAAAAAGATTCACATTAGGGTTGATTTTAGATTTTTTATGTTAGAAGAGAAAATCCTTTTGCTATCCATATCTGACATTTTCAATAAAAGGGAATTAAACACATGATAAGTCTATAAAAATGAAATTGAGACATAGATGACTAAAGTATAATAGTATGGACAATAAATTCAGTGTTTTAGAATGAAAAGGTGAAAGGAAAATTGTATCTTTACTAGGAACATTATTCATTGTATACTTCTATTCCCACTTCTTTATTCTCTTCTTTACTGACAATAGGAACCCAGGTGATTTCCCTAGATCATGGTCTTCAAAACTACACTCTAGTGTGTTAGCAATTTCAGTAACAAACATAAAGTGTGTGAATATTTTTTCTTCACTTATAATTTTGAAGATATTTTCCTGCAATGTTATTCTAATTCGGCACAGTTTGATTAGTTACATGCAATCATTTCCATAAGCTTCATATACCTCTTTATTTCTAGGGGTAATAGTTGGTTGAGTAAAAAGGGAATGTTTCTTTCTTACTACAAGCCTCCAGGAGTGCCTTGTGCACTTGTCTTTAATTTTTTTAAAGGTAGGATTAATTCCTACTTTAAATTAACATGAGTACATAATCATAAAACTTTTTCTGTTTTATTGTATATTAAAAGTAGTATAAAGTGCAAATAAACTTAATTAAAAAGATAATCAGCCATTAAGGTGTTTTGACTTTCTTTACAGAAGAATTTAAAATGCAAAATATTATCGTCATTCTTAATGTAGTGTTACTTTTACTCTTAGTTTTGTGTGTGCCCATAAAAATCTGAGCTCCAATATAAATCTGTGTGCATTTCTCAATTTTACCATAAATAAATGCACAATATGAACTAGAAACCTGAGAATCTTATTTTTAATATTAGTTGATATAACTACTCATAAGTTAATAACGTCTTCATCCACTAGCTTTTAGTTTTCAATAAAATTTTCAAAACACTAGTTAGGCAATTCTTGTTCTTACACTGAGATGATAATCCATCAGTCTTTTATAAATGTAAAAGTAAGATAATTTTACATTTTAGTTGGAATCTATGAGTGAATTCTATAATTTTACTTGAGGTCTATGAGTGAGTTTTATAATTGCACTAAATACTAGTATTATATGTAAGTCTACTTAGAGGATTTTGGTATCTTTATGTTATTTAAGGCTCTTTGCAATCATGAAAAATATCAGGTCATGGAAAAGTATGCCCTACAATTCCTCTCTCAGCTGCTTCAACATATTTTTTAGTTAAGAAGAAAATTTATATGTTTTAAACATTTTTCTATTGCCTGTGACTATATTGTCCAAACCACACCAAAAAAACTCCAATGCCATATTTTCCAGAAACTTTTCTCTATAAAGTTTATGTTATAACATACATTATTTCTTTTTTTTTAGAATGCATAGACACAGGCTTATATAGGATATTAAAATAAATTAATTATTAAAATAATTCCAAATAT